CATGTTGATCCAAAGTAAATTTTTCCACCCTCAACACTCAAAACCTTGTCCGTTTTCAGTATATTTCGTTCTACTCTTGTTCAGGTTCCTCAAACTGAGGAACTTCTAAAAAAGAGTCGACTACCTTTTGCCATCACTTTACATCCTTTCCGAGACGTAAAGAATCTCAACATTATTCAATGCTCGAATATTGTCCGCTGCCGATATTGCCGCACATACATCAACCCGTATGTGTACCTGCCTGATCACCGACATTGGAAGTGTAATCTTTGTAATCGGAACAATGATGGTATGTACCTTACATTCCTCCCATTTGGTGTGCTCTCTTAACGGAGACTACTGTAGACGATGGAAGTGCAAACACGGACACGACAAAGTACACCGCGCCAAAAAATCGAGGATATGATTTTTTCATGATTTATCCCGCGAAAACGGAATCATTCAGCTGTCGCTGAACAAACAGTTTCTTTTTTGGCAGTTAGTTTACATTTTTCATTGATCAAATTAATTTAGCTCGTAAAAATCATGCACAAAAATGTAACCTGCTGAGATATGCCATTTGCAAAAAAGTTAAACGTGTCATGTCTCGGTATGCACATAGCTCGCGCTGTCTACTCTCGTTCTGTCTCTCCTTCTCGCTGAAAATTCTTCTTCATCCTCTTTTTTTTCATATGCTCGCATCTCTGATTTCTGTCTCGCCAAAAGTGTGGTTCTTTTCAATAAATCTTGAACCGTTTTTCGATTGTTGTATGTTCTTCTTCTTGTCTTGTCGTTCACACCATCGTTCTCACTGTCGCTTTCCACGTCAACAGTTGAATTTTTCAGAGGAACAATAAAAATTAGAGAACAGTTACTGTACGAAAATAGAAAAGAAGATCAACAACTAGAGGGAGGATCTCGTATGAGCACCAATAAAGGAACAAGATGATGAACCATTACAACCCACATGCTCATCATATTCAGCAAAGGTTTATGTAGTGAGTAAGAAAGTGCCAACTCGGCAACTAGAAAAATGTGATAAAAATCAATAACTATAAATTATGCTGAAAAGCGAAAAATCTATGTTCTTAAAATATAAATTCATATAGAAATTCCTTTGTTTGAAAGTTTTTGCAGAAATAATATTCTGGATTCAGGGGGGAAAGTGCGGTTGGCATCCATCGTTGAATAAATACCGTAGTTAGATTCGCAGGCAGCGGCGCGTTCCCCTGACCAGCCCACTATTGAAGCAACCTTCGGAAAGCCGAAGACAGTTTTAGCTCTATTTCTCATTTTTCCATCCGAGATTTTTTTTTTATATTTCAGCAAATAGTTCAGTTCTGGCGGATGACTCGTTGTTTTGATGGTCAGAGTTTCAAAAAGGTAGATTTCTGCAATTTTTCAATTTTGGTTGAAAATTGAATGTTTTCATGAGTGTTTCGTTAAAATCACACGAATTCAATTTGAAAAAAATATTGATTGTGGACTGTTAATCGTCTCGATGAGCTAAATTCCAACTCGGATTTTTTTAAATATCAAAAATACGATACAATTTAATTGTTTTCAAGAAAATTTTTAAAAAAATTTCATAATTGCTTGACAGTAATATTCAACCTATTTTTAGTAGTAATATATCGTACATCATAGATTTTTTGGTTTGTAAAGGATGAACGTGTGTCTGATGAAATAATCATCGGTCGCTTGACTATCGATTTTCTCGCTGCGGGTCTCTCATCTGGTGTATACTTTGTAGACAGTAGACATAGACAGAGCAGAACTTATTCTTGTTCGTACCATCGATTTATTGTTCGTGGTTCACTTATAAGGGACATTGTTCATGTAAGTTTCTAGTATATACATTATCAGAGATTAACGATGCATTAGAATTTGAGCGGGTCAAAAAATATATGATTGCATTGTTTTTCTTCCAGTCTAACTTCTTTTTTCAGTGATGTGATGGCATCGGGTGAAACTTCAACAGAGTACAAAGACAAACAGGGTGGTGGAGCTGGTCAACCGCTCACCAAATCTGAGAACAACGATGGCAAAAAAACTTTGACAAATGGAATGAGCCGAGTGCATCGAGTGATGACCGATGAGGAAATTGCTCAAGGAAGGCAGACACGGTGGACGGAACTCGAAATACATGGTATGTGTTCAATCTAATATACTTTCAAATATAGTTCCGCATTTTTCAGGCAAAGTCAAAAATCTTTCCCCTGCCGTTTGGCAGTTGACCCATTTGTCGGCGTTGTTCCTCAACAATAACCAATTGTCTCGATTACCACCCGAAATCGCGCAGGTAATTACTATTTTTTGAAATCAAACTGTCCCTCTATGGAGTATGGATCCTTTTTCAGTTGACCAATTTAACAATGCTCGACATATCCAACAACAAGTTGCGGTCACTTCCAACAGAACTCGGCGATATGATCTCATTGTGCCATCTGTACCTGAATCACAATCAACTGCGAGTACTGCCGTATGAGCTCGGAAAACTGTTTCGAATTCAGACACTCGGTCTTCAAGGAAATCCGTTGTCACCTGAGATAAGCAAAATCTATCATGAGACCAATGGAGCACATAAGATCCTGCAGTTCTTGCTCGACCATCTGACAAGTGAGTTTGTTAAACGCATAGTTCTTGGTACAGCGTCTTCTTACGTAAAAAAAATCTTCAATGGGGATACTGTTAGTGCCAGAACCCAAATTTGGTTTCATCATAGCTTTTTGAAAACAATTATCTCATCTAGTAAAAAAGAAACGGGGATATCAGCCTAGTTAGTTCGCTGAAGTTTCAGTCAATTCCTTTCAACACGAATTCATCTTATTTTCCATTCGGACGTCCCTAAATGACGTAACAGTTGCACGACAGAACCGTAATAGGCTTCGCTTTTGCTTTCTTTCACTAAAACTTCTTCAGTTCATTAACCATCGTTCGTTATCGTTGTTATCCGTTGTCTTCTTTTCCCATGCTGTCACTTTCTCTTTTTAATGCCTCCTCTGTCTCATTCACCTCTCCAGCTTTCGCGTGAAAGTAAAAAAAAACAGCATCGAACCAACATGCAAGGGTGATCATAATCGTAATCGAATCACATAAATACTTTAGTGTAAACCGAGACAACGTTGGTTCTCAACCTAAACTTGTGACGAGAGAGAGAGAGAGATGGAAAGTAGTACATAACTTGTTTTTTTAAATTACAGATTATTTCTATTTTCGTCAGACATTACTGAAAAGTATCTAATAGCGAAATAAAGAAAACAAAATAACTAGTAACATAAAGTGACGGAATCTGAAGAGAATTACTTGGGAATTTTTCCGGATCCTGACTTTTTGGATACCTCCTTTTTAAAAAATAGTTACATGTATTCTGCCTTTTCCTGAATGGGAAGACATTTTTGTGAACTTGTCAAATGTCTTGTAAAGAATACTTGAGCGCTAAACTACAATAATGGGAGAGTATGATTTCCTTCTGATTTCTTCGGAGATCACTATTCGGATTCAGCAACACTGGTTTTGGTCGATTTGCTTTCAAAATCGTTTTTTTTTGTTTCTCGAACTTGCGAACATTATATCCAACGAGCCATCCATTCACAGTAAAGTTTCCTTTGAAAGCCCTGCATATGAAAGTTTAAACTGAAGAAACGCAGAAACGTATATTGGCAGAGTGACCACCACCACCATTCGTATACGGTTTTTTGGTTCTTCCCGTCTGCGTTTCAATTCACTGTCACTCTATTTCTTCGCTTATGATCATCTGTTCTTCTTATGTTCTCCGGGTCCCCATATTCTCCTCGTTCTCCACCACGACTTTCTTTTCGCTTCCTTCTGCCGTTCGCTGTTGACGATTGGAGAAAACTCCGCCTCTTTCGGAAAAAAAGTGTCTTCCTTCGAAGTGTGTACGCCCTCCTTCGTGTGTTTGTGTGTGTCTGCAGCAATCGGCGGCAGCACATTGCATGAGTTTGAAACGGGAACAAGACTCCGCCCTGACTGGCTTTCTATATTGAGAGTAGTCTTCATCTTCATTCTGTATTTTGAAAGTGCTTCTTCGTTTTCACTGTATTCCATCTACTTTCACTTAAACTTTCTACTTATTCTTACTGTATCTCTTTATTGTGTTATTCTTGAACGCTGGTTGTGATTCGAGAATGCTCTGAAAGAGTTTTCGAACATGGGCGACAGCGGAGAAAGCGAGTCGCCATCAAGAAGAAACTCGAGTGGAAAAAGATTTGTACGGAGAGCTCGACGATGGGCCGAATTGCAACAGAAACGACAGGGACGTAGGAGCTGCGAGGACGTTGAAATTCCAACTGTTCAGTCGGAGGGTCATTTTCATCCAAACCAGTCACATTTCAATGGTCTGCATATGCAACACCGGAGTGCGGATACAGAGAATAACTACCGACCACCAGATCTACCGCATATTTATGATTATGTTGAAATGGCGACTGCGGGAACTCGTCCGATGGTTTTTGAAGAAAATCTCAGCTATGAGTTTCTAACTCAGGAAGAGTTTCACCTCAAACAAGCTTTGGGACACACGCGAAGTTTTCCTATTGCTATTCTCCAGTCGAGAAGACGCCAAAATCACGAATCTAATGGGTACTCCTTGTCTTACGGTTACAATGAACATCAGCCTTGCCAACGAACAAATTCCGATGCACACCATTATCACAGTTTCCAACAGCCCAGTTTTTCTCACTTCCAAAGTTCTTCATCTTGGAATAATCAAGCACGATCATCGTTGATGAATCCGATAGACAATGCTCTTTCATTGATTACAAATGATCTCTCTGTCACGAGTTTATCTGATATGTCTACAACATCACCTAGTTCAATCTCAAACAAATCAGAAGAAGATATCCCTGCGAATTTCGTCAAGATTCTTTCTTCACTGCCAAAGTCATCAAATGCTGGTGATCTCCCTGTTCAAAATGTTTTGACCCCATCACACACTTTTGGTGAGTTTTCCCCATTTTTTTCCTCTGTGGGAATTTTATGCTTTCCCCAAGAATATCCACCACCAGAATTTTCTCTACTAATATTTTCTTTTGTCGCAAACTGTTTCCTTTGATTACTATCTTAAACATGTTCTCTTCACTTATCTGAACGTTTCATTCCAAATAGCGGTTTAAAAACTATCTGACAACTGACATCCAGACACAGATTGAGTTAGACCAATATTTTTCTGGGGCGCACGATCACCTATTGCATATCTGAATTTTCATTTTTCTTGTTATCTCTGCGCATCTCTTTGGCATTGAGAAGCAGCACGCATGGTCGATGGCGATTACGCCATATTTTGACGTAAGACTGAGAAGCGACATAGAGATAGATATGAAGCGAACGTGTATACGTTTGTAGCATAACGACAGGAGAGAGACCGATGGCGGCAATGCCAACGGTATGAGTGTGGACAGCGGCGACGGTAGTGGTGTCGGTGCGTTAACAAGTTTTTGCCGCCACTTTCGGACGGTGTCAGATATTCCCCCTCATCTTCAATGTCGATCTATGGGTGGTTCGTTGACAGTTTAGAGATATTGAAAAGGCGTGTAGAAGATTAGAGTCAGATTGTTTTGGTATCTGCGCATATAGTGAAAGCAGCCAGGAAGTGTTGAGAAACAGGTGATTGCGGGTACTGATAAACGAGTTATCAGCAATATTTTGTGACAATAGAAATGAATACGTCCAGAATGAGCCTTTCTGGTACCGACATATATTTCCCACTTCTCAAAATCTTCACAACTTTAAACAATCGAAAACCGTTACTTTATTTGGAGAGTTATCTGAGCTCCCAGAATAGGGAAAAATATGAACAATAGAACAACCGTGTTATTTACAAATGATCCAATTGGAGTGTTTCCTCCTCCTCCTCAGATCACAACCTGCACCATCACCCAACATAAACCAAGCCGTGTTCTGACGACGAGTGTGACAGAGAGTGTTTTGGGTTGCCCTATGATGCACGATATGTTTGCACACGGTTTCGAGCCGTCCGAGGCGATAATTGAATTTAGCCACCAGTGGCGGCAGAGAGAGTGGATTGGTCGTTTGAACATGCAGCCTGTGTCTGAAAACTGTGGATCGAAGATAAATATAGAATATGATCCTCGAAATTGCTCAGCAAGACTATGTTTAGCTTTTCTTTTTCAGCTACAGCAGACGTTCCGATTTTCGTATAGATTTTGAAAAAAATGCGAATTCATAGTCAATAAAGAATAATGTATGGAGGAAGTTAATGAAAATATATTATAGTTTTAGATGAAGTTTCGGCTTCGCTGTCTTTTCAGTCTTAAACTTTCGAAAAATTCATTGTAGGTGTCTATGCCAGGTTGCCCTGTAAAAATCATTACAATATTTTTCTGTTCACCTATGAATGTTCTCAAGCGGGCTACTGTAGTTTCTTGATGCTAAATTTGTATAATAATAACGTTTCTGCTGCGCTTGAACAGACCAATGAGTGCCCATAACATTGCGGAATGGATGGTATTCTAAAAAAAGGAATAAAAGCTCAAAGCATAACAATATCAACTTTTCAGTCCCCATTTAAATACAATAGAAGACGTTAGGGTGAAATTATGAAAATTGGCATAACTCTCAACTATTCCTTTTTCAGTTAACACTCATCCACCACCTGAACGCAACTGGGTAATGATTCGACATGCTGATCCGGAACGTCCTATTGGTAATCAGACTTTTTTCCAAAGTTATCGAATTATCGAGGCTTTCAACGAGAACAAGATACTTATTATGTTTTTTTTTCAGCCACTTTCACGGTTCTGTGCTACAATGTGCTCTGCGACAAATATGCCACAGTTAACCAATACTCCTACTGTCCTTCCTGGGCTCTGAATTGGGAGTATCGAAAGTCGCTTATCATCAAGGAGATACGCACCTACGAGGCTGATGTTATCACTTTGCAAGAGGTCGAGACTGAGCAGTATCGTACACTGTTCCTCCCAGAACTGAAAACACTCGGATATACAGGAATATTTGCTCCTAAAACTCGTGCAAAGACCATGGGCGAGGAGGAAAGAAAATATGTGGACGGTTGTGCTATTTTCTGGAAAGTTGATAAGTTCGATATGGATCGGCAACAAGTTTTCGAATTTTCGTCTGTTGCTATGAAGAAAGCATCCACAAGTGAAAATATGCTCAATCGAGTCATGCCTCGTGACAATATTGCGCTTTGCGCTGTGTTGAAGATCAAGGAGAATGTCTATGCCAATCGTAAGCCATCATCTCTTTTTCAATTTTATTCAAAAACATATTTTAGGACGAATGACTATCCCAGCTAATGATAACGTTGTTGGAAATCCACTTGTCGTTTGCACAGCACATATTCATTGGGATCCCGAGTTCTGTGACGTCAAGCTGGTGCAAACCATGATGCTCGCTCATGAAGTGTCCAGAATTCTCGAAGACGTTTCAAAGAAATACATGATCACTCAACAGCAAGTTCCTGTGCTCATATGTGGAGATTTGAATTCTTTGCCAGACTCTGGAGTCTTCGAGTATCTCTCTAAAGGCCAAATCACACGGCGACACTTGGATTTAAAGTCGTTCCGAGAGGACTCGTGTCTTGAAAAGTTTACCAATTCGTCGGACAAAAACGTTATCAGCCATCCCCTTCGGCTAGATTCGGCTTGCGATCTGCAATCTATTCCCTTCACCAATTACACCTTGGACTTTAGAGGAATGATCGACTACATTTTCGCGACGCCACAATCACTGGCCAGACTCGGAATTCTCGGTCCATTTGATCCACAATGGGTTGCAACGAATAAAATTCTCGGTAAGTCTTTTCATATATGTTTTCTCTGTAAGACACGAATTCCAGGCTTCCCACATCCCCATGTACCATCCGATCACATTCCTATTATGGCTCAATATGCCATAATACCGACAACACATCAGCGACAACCACCTCCACCACAACAAACGGGTCATCCTCCAGCTGGTGTCATCGGAAGCGGTTACCCGGCACCAACTCAACACTCGTTCCTAAGATGATGATGGTAACTGTATTATCCGTGATTCAATTCGTGTACAACTGGCTCTCCCCCTTTTCTCACCCATTCTGTCTCATACCTCATCCGTTTATCAACACTCCTCCTCCCCCCAATTCTCTTGTATTTGTCCTATTTTTCCTCTCAAAATAAGAAAACTTACGTATAGATGTCGTTTTGGTACGATTGATAACTCGTTCGAATTGTGATATTTTTGAATTATGTTTCAACACGCATTTTCATCTGTTTCTGTTCTCTACGAGTTCTCTCCCTCTCTTTTTTTCGATCCGACTCTCTCTCTCTCTCTATTCTCTCTTTATACTTGTAGTTCCAACTTAATTTCATCTTATTTCATAAGCTCTTTTGATCAGTTTTATTGCGTATTTTGGTAGCCCATGGGGTGTTCAAATTTTATTCCACTTTAATTTTCATTACTTCACACAGATATTTCGCTTGGCAATTTTTGTTACCAAAAGAAGAATTGAATTTTTCTCTCGTTTATTTTATGTCTTCCCCCAATTATTCAGTAGATTCTTTTTTTTTCGTGACTCGTTTACTGAGGGTTTCATGGCGAAATGGTCTCGCAACGCACGGTTACGGTGTCGGTGTGCAGTGAGAGCGAGGGGAAGAGGGAGAAAGTTAACTATAAATTTAGATTAGAGACCTTATCTTGAGTTTTGGTAAAGTAGAATATTCTTGCGTGGTGCTCGCTGGCCGAGTTTCCCTTCCTGGCCTCTCCTCTCGTTGTGTACTATTTTACCGTCATTGCCAATATATCCTACAGTAATTTTCTTTGTCTGGTTCCATGTATAGTTTTTGAGCACTTCATGTTTACTTTCTCAATTTCTGCTCTCATCCCAACTCTCTCCACCACCCTCTCGTCCAAGTTGCGTGTTCCTGCTTTGAATTCTTTGTTATCGGTCTCGAATTAACCCCCTCCTTCTTTTGATGTTCCCACTTTATTCTTGTAGTTACTATAATTACTTTATTTCCCTGAATCTTTTTTTCATTCGAATGAAAAGTTGTACTTCTCAATTTGAGTTTTATGACTCCAGCTCATAAAGTTAAAAAAACGGCTGTGCAATGAAAGTTTTAATAATAATAATAATATATTTATTTGCAATGCATGGGGGGGGGGGGGAAATCGATAGATAATTTGGCAAGAAATGGGACCTGTACAAATAAAAAAGTAAAATGACCAGACGGACCGACTAGAGCCCTGTATGTCAAGTGGGAGGGATCAGAATATCATAAGGAATCGCTCCTACTCGCTTAGCAAACGCCACCGGACTGAGCTTAGAATTTATCACCTTACATACACGGTTCCACATAGACAAGTTTCTGTGAAGGAAGCAGTCAAAGTATTAACCGTTGATTTTGAACAAATACGGGGCTCTGTTAGAATGGCTGGGAAGAATGTAGGACGACATAGAGGCAAAATGGTATGAGTTCATAACAATTTTGTGATAGGTACGAAGAACTAGAAGGGTGCGGCGATGAAGGGTGGTTAGCATAGAGAACTGGGAAAGGCGATCGTTGTATGAATTGAAGTGCATATTACATCTCTGAAAGACTTTTATGGTGAAAAAACGAAGAGGAGATTCTAGTTTATTGGCAAGTGTGGCATTGGATGGATCGAAAAGTTCACAACCGTATTCGAGGACCAGTCTAATGTAGGTGTCGAAGAGACGGAAATATAAACAAGGGTTTTTCGATTGGAACGTTTTCAGTATTTGGCGGGACTTGAGTTTAGCAGAGTAGGCAATAAGATTGATGTGTTTGTCGAATTGAAGTTGATCATCAACTAGTATACCTAGGTCCTTGAATGAGCGATGCGGAGTAATGGGGGAACCCTTAATAAAATAAACTGTCTTAGGATCGCGTTTACCATAATGCATAACGGCCGTCTTATTTTCGGCTAGTTTGAGTCTTCAGATGTCACACCAGTGCTCGACGATTTCGATACTTCTCCGCATATCCAGTGTGTCGGAACAATCAATCGGTAGAAAATAACCTAAAAACAATACTTCTCTGTCAAACAAATCGCTGGTGAATTCTATTGTTTTCTTTGCAATTCTTTTTCAAATTCCCGCCTTTTGACTGCTATACGGTCAACGTTTGTCTGTAAACACAGTCATCATACACTGCGGACTATGCGTCTCAGATGACGACAAGCTCCTACAATTTTCTTTTTTTTTAAATAAAAATATACAAATTCTTGTATTTAAACATCTCGCTTTGAACGATAATAATATTAAGTTTTGAAGATGGCACCAATCAAAAAGCCAAAACCTGATGGAGTCAAAAAGATCTCTTTCAACGCAACTGATGTGACTCCTGCTCGCGGTGTTGAAGAAAAAATGAGTTGGAAGGAATACAAAAAAATGAAGGAGCAAGTTGGAATCGGGATGCCAAAAAAGTTGAGGAAAAAGAAGGAACCAATAGCTAATGAAGAAGATAGTGGACCGAAGAAACCAATGAAGCTGACTAATGCACAAAAGGAAAGACACGATACTGGTGAATATTTTCAGTGGCTTATTTTCAAAAAACAATTTGAATTCAGGCGCTGGTGTGATTGATCCTTCAACAATGAGGTCGAAGCTTCAACAGGAAAAAATGAAAATGACAAAAGAGAAATTCGAGCGAAGAATCGAAGCAACCGCGAAAGCGGAGAAGCGGCTTGTTGAAAATGTAACTTTTTCTTTTCCATTTTTGATACTATAAAAAACATTTTCCAGGCAGGATTCGTGGCTCCAGATGATGAGGAAGACAACGTGTTAACATATAGCGTTCGTCAAAGAGACATCGTCGAAGCTGTAGATTTGGCGGCAGCCACTAAACATTTCGAATTGAAGCTCCCACGTTTCGGACCATATCACATTGATTACACCGACAACGGAAGACATTTGGTTATTGGTGGAAGAAAAGGACATCTGGCTGCTATCGACTGGCAAACTAAACATCTTCATTTCGAGCAAAATGTGATGGAAAAGGTTTCCGATGTCAAGTGAGCAGATCGATTACTGTTGTTTGATTCATTCTAAGTTTTAGGTTTTTGCACACGGAAAACTTCATCGCAGTTGCTCAAAAGAATTATACATATGTATATGATAATCTGGGAACCGAATTACATTGTCTCAAAACGATGTATGACACAGCTCGCCTTGAATTCTTACCTCGTCACTTTCTCCTCGTTGGTGGCTCGCGCAACTCTTTTCTCAATTATGTTGACGTTTCCGTTGGAAAACAAATCACTTCGTTCGCAACCAAATGTGGAACTCTCGATGTAATGTGTCAGAATCCAGCTAATGCTATCATTCACACTGGACATACAAATGGAACAGTATCGCTATGGTCTCCAAACTCCAAAGAACCACTTGTCAAGATTCTTGCTCATTTGAGTGCAGTTAAAGGGATTGCAGTTGATGACCAAGGAAACTACATGGCGACTACTGGATTGGATAGAAAGTGTCGTATTTGGGACGTTCGGATGTTCCGCCAGCTTCATGCATACTCTCTCCCATTTGGTGTCTCCAACGTGGCAATCTCCCAAAAATTGGACGTTGCTTGCGCAGTTGGAAATCATGTACAGGTCTTCAGAGGAATGCACAATGGAACTTGCAAAGAACCATATTTGGTGCACAATTGCGGAGGAGTTGTCACTGATTTGAGATTCGTACCATGGGAAGATGTGCTCGGAATTGGTCACGCTGGAGGATTTACAAGTATGTTGGTGCCGGGAGCTGGAGATCCAAACGTGGATACATTGCGATCGAATCCATATGAGACAAAATCACAGAGAAAAGAGAGAGAAATCAAACAGTTGCTCGACAAGGTAATCCGACAGAACACTTGTTGTTTTAGTTATTTCTAATTATTTTCAGCTGCAACCAGAACTTATCAGTCTGGATCCTGAAGACATCAACAAAGTCAATGAAGGTCTTTTGGAAGTGGAAGAGGAGGAACGAAAGAAGATACTCTACATCCGTCCGATGTCGGTTCAATACACACCACGTCACAAAATGCGTAGCAAGAAGAGCGGATGGAAGATGGAGGCACGCAAAAACATTGTCAAAGATAAGATTAGAATGGAAAGAAATATGGAGAAGCATGCTGTCGAGAAAGAGGTCTTCGGAGAACCTGAGCAAGCAGAACAGTCGAAAAAGAAACACATTCTCGATAGGCTTAAGTGAAGAATGTTATCATGTTGTTTTTCTTGTTGATTTTAAGTTGTTGGAATTTATATTTGTTTCTTTTGCATTATTAAAGCTTCTAAAAATTTCAAAAATCTTCATTCAATTAATAGACATGAAAAGAAAAAGTTAAAATTGATTATTTTTCTTCATCTTGGTCCTCCTCTTTATCGTCGTCCTCATCGACCTTTTCGACCTCATCACCATAGCTGTGGTTCTCTTCCAGATCGTCCAGAACACCCTCTGCGAGCCTTTGTCCCTTCTTCTTCTCCTCTTCCAACTCAGCAACTAACTTCTTGTGGCCTTCCAATGAAATACTCATCTGATTGATCTTCTCCTGGATCTGCGCTGTGAGTCGTGCATCGAACTTCAGCTGAGACTCTGATTCGTCGAACTTCTTCTTGTAATAAGCAGCGTTTTTATTTGCTTCGTCCAGTTGTTTGGTGAGATCGTCAAAGCTTTCCTTCTTGTTTCTCACAGTTTTCCCAATTAAAATCAAATAGCGATCGATCGTTTCTTGGATGCGTTGTGGTTCGAGGTAAGTTTTTGCGTATTGACAGTTTGTCAACATTCTGTAATTATTTTATCATAAAATATTCTAGATTTGAAATTTCTCACATTTCCTCGCTTTCGTCGAATCGGTCCGAGAGTTTCTCCATCAGCAGTCCCACCTTGGTCAAGTTCCAATAGCCTCTGAAATGTTTAATTTTGTTTAAATATTCCTTTTTCATTATATCTTACTTTGCCTTGTTCTTCTCTCGTTCTGTTTCCAATTGCATCAAAAGATCTTTCAAATCATCTCCTGCTTTCACTTGATTCATTGCAATGATTTGTTTCAGATCCTCATTTTCCTGTTGCGCTTGTTTGAGTTTTTTCTCCAAATCAGTCACATACTCCTCATTTTCCCTGTTTTTCGTCGCAGCATACAATTGGGAACGTTGCTCCAAGAATTGATCTTTGAGTACTTTGAATTGTTCCTTCATGATGTTCAATTCAGAATCGGGAAGAGCCATGATTTCTGAAAGAAGATCGATTTTGAACAAGTAGGCTGAGAAGAAGAAGAAAATGAGGAACAACCGTTCAGAAGGGTACGGGGCGAGTAAGAATGAATAGAAAGGGGGAAGACAGAGCAAAAGAGTCCCCAACCAGATCGTATCTACGAGACAGGTGACCTTTTTCTGTCTGGGAAAGGACACATCGTCCTCTTCTCTGTGTTTGCCTTCAGTGGTCCCTGGGTTGTGTTGTCAAGAGTCGATTTCTATGGTGACGTCACAGTCTACGAGACAGGGGAGGAGTTGAAGGACATTCAGCATCGACATCGGAAACGCATCCACCGGCTCTTTGGCAACCCGACCCATCAATAAACATCGGAAGATTGTATCCATCTAAAAATATTCTATGCAGGACTTTGAAATTATTATTCTGGTACAAAAAAATCGGAGGCAACTACCGTAACCTTGAAAAAAAGCAACTACCGTAACCTAAAATTATTTTCATTTTCTGGATTTCTGCAATCTTTGGAGGAAAACAAAAATCGACAAATAGAGAAACTTCATTCATTGGGTTGGTACTGTATTTTTAGGAACGATCTAGTTAATTATTATATTTGTATTGATTAAAAATGTAATGTTTTGTTTGATACCCTCTGAATTAAATAATTGAGAAATCGTTTCCATATTTTCAGAGCCCTAAAATTAACTATAAGTTTTAAATGGAGCGCGACCGGCGAAAAACTGCTCGTGGGCGGCTGAAAGCCTAGTCACCGTCTTACTATTAGCAATGCGGGCGGGCCGTTGACGGATGGTAGACGGATCATCCGTTTACTGTGAATGAAGTGACAGCTATTGAACGGAAATCTGATAAACATGACGGTCACTGTAATTTCTATTTTGAAGGGGAATTCGCATAACATTCGGAATCTTTTTTCATACGGATTCCTGAAGCCTTTATTTTTCTGGTGAAAATGAATTCTAGGTTTTAGAATGATTTTTCAGGAAGACGTCAAGTACAGTGCATTCAATAAAGATAGGATTTCCTCAATTTAGAGGGTTCCGGAATTGATGAAAATGAAATGAAAAATCTGTGACTGCCATTCGATTTAGAACACAAAAAAGGCTGGCTTGTCGACGGAACCTAACTCACTAAACAAGTTCCAGTTTCACAATTAAAATCTTCATCACATCCAGTCCTAGCCAATATTTTCCCATTCCAATCATCCACAGCATTCAGATTTTTTGCAGTCCAAGTATCCAATCTGAATCCTTCTCCTTCTGGATTTCCCGGTCCGAAGACACCTGGCCAATTTAAAAATGGGCAGTTGTTATAAACAACAATTGTCCTGCTCTCCACTCCAACATTCAACAGTAATAGAATCGAAATTGTGAGAATCTGAAAATAAAATAATGGGTTTTTATATTATCATGAAGCTATCAAAAAATAATTGAAAGCAAATTTGAAAATTTCAGAGTTGAAACCCATACTTTCAAGTTGAACCGGACCGTAGATACCCAGGAAAAAAAAACAAGATGCGGCTTCCTTGTTTACTTACGAATGTTCTATGTTCCATCTCTTCCTTTTATCACAAAATTTCAATTTTGGTCTTTTTAGTTTCAAGAACCAATCGAGGTCAGCTCGTCCGTTTTCTTCTCTTTATCAGAAACGTTTTGTGATCCATTTTGAACATTTTTTCGCTGCATAAACTCCAGTGTTTTGTGTACCCATCCGTTATTTTATTTCAATGAATTCCGTTTTTGAACTGGAAAAATGTTGATTATCAATCACTGATTGAGACATTCATGTTCTGTTATCAGCTTGAAGTTCGGAATCAGAAAAATGAATGTGGTAAAAAAAGAAACAAAAGAGATTATGGTAGATTAGCAGATTCAATAGAAATAAAGAATACACTGGAAATTTGAAGGAATTTCAGAATACTGTAAGAGGAGAGCATGGTGTAGTTTAGCATCAAAATTGATAAAATTAACTGATTTTTTTGATACATCATTGGTGGTCACAAATATTCGAAGTTGGGTGCAAATTAACAAGATTGCATGGGTTGAGGAAATAGAAATTACGTTAGATTCAAGGAAGATGCAAAGATGATTCATACAAAGAGCGTTTAATAAAGTTTATAGGCTCGATAAGTCACAGCCAGATTTTCAGGTTTATTGGGACTTCAGTTAATTTGTTCGATGTAGAAAAATTGAAAAACTATCATTCTGTTTCTTTATATGGTCTTGAATTGAGATTCCTTTTGATGAAAATTACCGAGATTTGGTGCAAAAACAAGAAGATCTGCGACTTTACCTTGCTTTAACAGACATGTTTTTTATAGCTGAAAAACCTCAATAAGCGTATATCGGAAAACAACCTGCCTGAGAACGTTTTAGTTACATGAAACCCGGTTTGAATATACAGTACCGGTCAAAAATTATAACGTTTTTTTATAGCATTTTTAGTTGAAAATGGTTAAGTTTCCTACACAAGAATATAGCTTCAGTTCTGTAATAGACAACTTTGGCATTCTATTGGTGTTTCATACAGTTTGCCGTAAACACTTTAATATAATGATATTCAAACCCGCAATTTTAAGCTCAAAAATCTCAGTTCTGGTAGAAAATATCAAAATTTTGCTAACAGACAAAATGTTTATAACAATATAGCTCTATTTTTGTGTAGTGGACCAACAAACTATTCTCCTCATCCAAAATTTATTTTAGACATCTAAAGTTGTCTATTATAAACTGAAAGTAGGTAAAATTATATATTTTGGCCGGTAATGTACATAAATTAAACCGGATTTCATTTTTTCAATTATCGCCCTCGATGCAAATACTTTTCATTCAAATTTTGTGCTCGATTAGAAATCACTACTTTTACATTTTTTAATTTAATTTCCGGTTTCCGATTTCAGTATTTGTGATCAAATTTTTCTGTAAACCGGAAATTAATGCAATATCTAATCCATCGTATCTTCCTGAATAACTTTGATTTTTTCGTTCTTATCAATCACGAGAAATGAAACCACAAATCAGAAAAGACACTGCTATGGCGACTGATAAGAAAAATTGTTCAAAATGTGAATTAGGAACAAAGAAGGATTTCATGGAGATAAGTCTGTATAGTTTCAAGTTTTGCAGAAAACACCAGTGAATGGTATACCTATAGCACATGAAAATAGAATTAGATGATCATTGAATGCCATGAGATCACTGTTATTTTAAATTAGTCATGTTTACTTTTAAAATGTCAAATGAAAAGTCGAAACCAAGATCGGAAGGAAGTAGCCCAATAATGAAAAAACAATCATTCACAAGCTCAGTGAGGCTCTTTAGAAAATGAAATGTATGAAATAAAACTTTGGATGTTTGGAAGCGGAAGACGGAAGACAGAAAATCGAGTAATTACTAATTGAAAAACAAGACTGATTCGAGTTTTGCAGTTAGACGGATCCTCTGAAAGAGCCTCGGAAAACTTTCAAAAAATTCAACAAATCCTACAAAAATTCTAGTCTTCCGATATTTGTGATTTTTCTGAACGTTGAGGAAGACGGCAGACGAAATTCCGCTCAACACTGCTAATGATGAACGATTGAGGAAAAATCTCGAAAGTGGGAAGAAGAACTTTGGTAAACAGGTGACCAGATTCTTTTAGTGTGTACATTGCTAAGACTAACTATCAATTCTTTTGTTATTGAGAGATATCCTCTTCATTATTCCTCATGTCTCCCATTCTTTAGAATGAATCATCATTAACTTTTTGATTTTTCTTCCCTAACAGTTTGTTAGCCCCACCTACTTGGGTCTAAAAAACAGTAGACTCTCCAATCGAAAGTGAGAATTTGGTAGTGGGCGGAGTCTATGTACTATAAAACAGTTCCCATCTACCCACTGATCATTCATACATTTTGAACAGTTTTCAACTTTTAAATTGTATCACCTTTTCCAATCATCCAAAATTACAGTAATGGCTCTTGTCAAGTTGACTGTTGCACTTCTTCTTTTGGCCGTTGCTGCCGAATCCCGCAAAATCACCATCTACAACAAATGTCCATTCACCATTTGGCCAGGAATTCTCGGACCCGGAAATCCATCCGGAGGAGGTTTCAGATTGGATGCCGGACAATCCAGAGATATTAACGTAGATGATGCATGGACCGCTGGACGCGTTTGGGCAAGAACTGGATGTGATGGAAACTTCAACTGCGAGACTGGATTCTGCAGAGTGAGTAAACTAGAAATTAACAGAACGAACAAGAAGCTTTCAGAATTCTGAGCAATGTAATGGAGCAGGAGGAGTCCCACCGGCATCTCTCGCTGAATTCACCTTGAAGGCGTGGGGAGGACAAGACTTCTATGATGTTTCTCTAGTCGACGGATACAACCTTCCAGTTCTGATTGACCCACATGGTGGATCTGGATGCAAACGTGCCGGTGGATGTGTCAAGGATATCAACTCTGAGTGCCCAGCTGCTCTTTCTGTGAAGGGACACAACGGAAACACTGTTGCCTGTAAATCTGGATGTCTCGGATACAACACCGACCAAGAATGCTGCCGTGGAGCATACGGAACTCCAGACAAATGCCATCGTTCGGCCACTGCTCAGATGTTCAAGGATGCTTGCCCAACTGCTTACTCCTACGCCTACGATGATTCTTCCTCAACATTCACATGCCAAGCAACCGCATCTTACACTGTTCAATTCTGCTAAACTTATATTTCTCTTGGATTTAAAAACTGAATAAATCTGTATAAATGCAACAGACACTTTTGAATTCATACATATATTGTGGAAGTGATTCTCTATTTTTATCACCAGATTGGGGAAAATCATTGAAAGTAGACGAATTTCCTTTTGAAAGAATTGAAACTCCGGTGACTCCGGTGATAAATATATGAGTTTTCATAGTTAGGATCAGAAGATTAACTACATTGGACGCAAAACTAATATCTCATGACACAGTGTGGTATATTCTGATACCAATTCCAGCAAGAAGTTTGCCATCGGGCATTTATAGTTGGACATCAGTTACCGTAAACACTAATAAAATGACAGCCCTATACTGGAACTTTGAGCCAATTTATCTCGGTTCTTGAAAGAGATAACAGAAAGTGATCAATTTGCAAAATACACAAAATACATTTTCTATTAAAATAAACATTTTGTCAGTTTACTACTTTTTGATATCTTTCACAGGAAATGAGATATATGGACTCAAAGTGCGAGTATAGGTTGGCCTTTTACAAAAGTGTTTAAGGTAACTTGAAAAGAGTGAATCAGTTCACGATGTTGTCCTTATTGTTTAGAATTTGCTAGCAAATAATAAAACGGCACAAAATTGTACACCAAAACTATTTGTGTGTCTTACGGCAGAATAATCTGAAAATTGAGATATCCTAGCTCCCGGAAAATACAACAAGTTTCATGAGACTATATTCCAGATATTTGAATTCATTACTATTCTATCACCACTTCAAAGTGATTTTATGATTTCTTTAACCGAGAATGTCAATCTAAAACATCACGAACAAGTATGACAAGGAATCATGATACTTCCATAACAAGTTCTCGTGTTCTTTAGACATTTATGAAAATTATCTTGTTTCCTGAAAGTTCTAAACGCCCTTTCACGATAACTCTTTTCCGTTTTTCGTGGCTCCGCCTCTTTCCGGAATTGATCTATGGCCAAAAGTATCTTCTATTCTGTAGATATTAATCACAGATTCCCGAGAATCACGGTACGTAAAATAACTATGAAATAGTATTCGAATGAAAGAGAACTGCTTTTGAGAGACCAAAAAGGAGGTGTTTGAAAAAGGAAACCAAAAAATGTCAATTAACAACTGATAAGACAGAGATACATTGTGCAAGCTACGTCGTTCGGAATAGTATAAAAAGGAAGGTCAGTTGAGGGAAATGATATCGGTTTCTTCCTTTCCACTACTTCCTCTCGCCCTTTTCGTAAAAAGGTAGCTCTTATTTTTTTTTAAACGTTTTTTTCAGTAATGGCTCTCGTCAAGTTGACTGTTGCACTTCTTCTTTTGGCCGTTGCTGCCGAATCCCGCAAAATCACCATCTACAACAAATGTCCATTCACCATTTGGCCAGGAATTCTCGGACCCGGAAATCCATCCGGAGGAGGTTTCAGATTGGATGCCGGACAATCCAGAGACATTAACGTAGATGATGCATGGACCGCTGGACGCGTTTGGGCAAGAACTGGATGTGATGGAAACTTCAACTGCGAGACTGGATTCTGCAGAGTGAGTAAACTAGAAATTAACAGAACGAACAAGAAGCTTTCAGAATTCTGAGCAATGTAATGGAGCAGGAGGAGTCCCACCGGCATCTCTCGCTGAATTCACCTTGAAGGCGTGGGGAGGACAAGACTTCTATGATGTTTCTTTAGTCGACGGATACAACCTTCCAGTTCTGATTGACCCACATGGTGGATCTGGATGCAAACGTGCCGGTGGATGTGTCAAGGATATCAACTCTGAGTGCCCAGCTGCTCTTTCTGTGAAGGGACACAACGGAAACACTGTTGCCTGTAAATCTGGATGTCTCGGATACAACACCGACCAAGAATGCTGCCGTGGAGCATACGGAACTCCAGACAAATGCCATCGTTCGGCCACTGCTCAGATGTTCAAGGATGCTTGCCCAACTGCTTACTCCTACGCCTACGATGATTCTTCCTCAACATTCACATGCCAAGCAACAGCATCTTACACTGTTCAGTTCTGCTAAAATCTATTTTTTGTTTGTATATTTTACTATGTATAAATATTATGCCTTGTATTCTTGTTTACAACACTCATTTCATAAAAATTCTCTAGTTCGTCGTGAAATACGCCCAAGGGTTATCGAAATGTGTCACATTCCTTTTTAATCGGTGCATTGCCGCCAAGTTTTTTTTTATTCTTTATAATATCATTAATTTGATTTCGGTACTCCTCTTGACCTATCCAAACTCATTCTCATAAATGTTTCCTTTTGGTTATTAACCAAATGTTCACAGAGAATGCCACCAAAGTTCAATTTAATTTCCGGTGATCTTAAGACAAACACAACAAAATTTTTGATTCTGAATTTTTCATCATACAACTTTCCAGTATTTTTTAAATGAAGTCTTTTAAGTAAACAAGTTCGCTCATCAACATAAACAGTTTATTGGTTCGCCATTATCAATCAGAAAATTCGAGATTACAAAGAAAGAGATCAAAACTCAACGGAACATTTCTGCTTTGAGCAGAACAGCAAAGAAACAAATTGGGAAAGCGGCGAGAACGAAAAGGCGATCCCAGATATCAACTTGACGAGGCAATGGATAAAATGAATTACCACCAACTGTTCCGTGTGATCCTTGTGTGCCCCCCGATTCATCCTTCGACTCTTCTTTGGCTGGTTCTGTAGATTGAGGAGTAGTGACTGGAGCAGAAGTTGCATCTAGGTTACCAATCAATCCACCGCTTCCAAAAAGACTCCCCAACCAGCCTCCTCCGCCTACATTTCCTGAGTTGCCGGTGCCGGCAGAGAATCCCGATCCTGCTCCTGATCCAGATGGTGATGGTGCTTGAGTATGGTGGGTGGAGTTGTCTTCTGACTTGGGTTCATTGGCTTGGTCTCCAAACATTTTGTCGATATCCCAATCACTCAATTCATCTTTTGCCTTGGTCTTATTCTTGTTCTTTCCTTCTTTTTTTTCTTCAGATGTTGGTGCTTCCGTAGCCAGAGCCTCTTCCGTTCCACCATCTTGATTCGAACCATCCCCATTTCCCCCTTCTTTTTCTTCATCTGTATTATCATCCTGTTCATCTATTGGGTCATCCTTAGAAGGTTCGTCTCTGTTCTTATCATCATCATCGGACGAATCAGAATCAGCAATTGAACTCAGAACGATTGCTAATATGAGCAGGAGGCAAAGCTTGTGCTTCATCTGAAAATATTCAATAGGGGAAAATGTTTCTAAAGCTGGAAATCGAAAGTATGTTGACAAAAGTGAGGAAAAGTGTGGCAATCACCAGAATCAAAAAGCCGAAAAGACTGCAATTTCCCTTCGTAACCATGGAGCCGGAGCTGACAGAAAGGCGGAGTCAGGAAATCTTTTTTTTTGGGAGAAGGGAAAAGAGTGGTCACATATTTTTTCATGAATCCAAAGCACAATAACTACGATATGTAGATACGGAAGATTTCTGTATTCAAATGCTGGATGAGCAATTGACTGACATTAAATGAATTGATTGAAATGAAAAGGACAGACAAATTTCTCGAGTAGTTCAAGTAATGGTTTACAATTCAAAATTGGGAGGAAACATTCATGTAATTTCTCAAAGTATGACTTCACAAGATGAACCTAAATTCTATGAATTTCACAGAAGTAATTTCACCGTGGGAGGTACCATGATCTCTTGATTGTCTTCTTAAGAAGAATTCTGGGGTGAAGTTATTGAATATGATTATTCGTATAGAGCAAAACTAAACTTTATGCGATTTAAAAATGTTCTGAATATTAAAAAGATCATTTCCAAACCTCTAATTAAAAAAAACAGCCTGTTTCAGACAAATATTGTACCTAGACTCTGTAATTTCATTTTAAATGTTTTGGACGGTTTTCTACTTATTTTCGTTTAAGTGGGGATCACATTCCGAATTTGCTGGAAAATATAAAACGATTTAATAGTTTTCAATTTTTTTTCCAGTCCCTTTTCTCAGAATCAAAAAAACGACATACTATCCCAGACCTAATTCCTAGACCTAAACCTAACCGGTAGACCTAGTTAAGGTTTTTTTTCAGAATAAGTTACGGATGTCACACACTTTTCAAAACAACATTGAAATACATCTAGTTTTTGGAAATACCGTAAAATTTGTAATAGAAGAGCATCCTTACTTTTATCATTGAGCTAATTTTTTTCCGTTCCTTGTGAAAGATATGAAAAAATTTTCAACTGATAAAATCATAATATCAGAAGCATTTTGTCAGTTAACACATTTTGGATAGCTTGAATAGAAATTTTGAAAATGAGGTTCGAATCCTGACAGTATTTGGAAAGCCGGCACTGTCAGAAAAGTAAGCGAGAGTAAATAAGATTCCGTCAAGTACAGTTTGTAGAATCTTGACAATAGTGGACAGCAAAAAGTGTTAAGACACATTCTCTGCCAGAACCGAAAATAGTGTTGCACAGAAAAATTCAAACTTGTTTTTTCTTGCTTCCAAGTCCATTTTCAGTGAAAAAATACGAGATCCAGAAAAACATGAAGGCGATGAGAACGAATCTTGAAATTTTGACAGAATACTACTTATCAAAAAATATTATATCTGGTACAAATTTCATCAAAATTGGAGAGGGTCGATTTTGAACGAAATTTAGTAGCCATGTACTCCCCCACATGGTGAAACCTCTTTTTTTCGCACTTTTTGGCCTAACACTTGCAGTGGACCCAGGATATTTAAACAAAAGCAAACATTTTCTAATGTATTTTTTGACTAGAAATCTAAATTTGATGTTAAATTTTGGAAAATAATGGAAATTTTTTTCGGGACGGGCATTTTCTGGTCCAAAAAATAGCTTTTTTGCAAAAAACTGCATTTTTTTCCCAGGAAGACGGAATAATATTAGTATAGTGCCAACACAAAAAATTTTTGAAATAGTGTCCAAAAACGTTCTACGTTAAGATCTGATCATTATTTCACTTTTGAAAAAAATTTTTTAGACACCCCACGACCATATTTTTGCAGGGGTGGGACGAATCGGGACAAACTATAAACATGCAATATATGAGAAATCAGCTAGAAAAAACAAGTTTGAATTTTCTGTACAGTGGATAATGGCTTGAAGTTGAGTTCTGCAGAGAACTCGTCTTAATAGTTCTAAGATGGATAGGAACATCAAGAGTTCTCAAATCATTTCCCGAACTTATGCACCAACCCGTTTCAAAAAATCTTCTACTACGGTAGAAGCAGCAATAAACCAACACCTTCAGCATGACTTTAATCTCAAAGTGCATGGGATATAACGAAGAAAATTTTCAGGAGTTTAAGAGAAATATCTCAGACTTTCCCATTAGTCGGAAACCAAATGATATTTGATCCAAACACCAATTGGTTGCCTGAGAAACCAGTTGTTCCTCAAAAATAAATTCTCTCAGCGGTGAGAATTAGGTTCTTGGTTGAATTAGATTACTTAGGTGGATTAAAAATAAGGGTTCTGAACTGGATTTAGTTTCTGCATAACATAAGGGAAAGATTCATGTTTTCATAAAAAGGAACATGGACAGTAAATTTAGGAATTCAGAAATTCTCAAGTTTTTTTGGAATTCTGAAATATCGAAATTATTGTGCTGGTATGCAAAAATCGGAGCCGTGGAAGAGGAAATCTGGTGGTCGCGGCCATGGCCAAGCTACCGTAGTTAGCAAGTATTTTTCTTTCCCATTTTTTTCTCGATTTTCGCACGTTTTTCGATAATTTTTAGACTTAGAAAAACTGCATTTTCTACTTTTTTGAGATTTTCAACTCGAAATTTGTCAAAAAGTAAAATCGACGTATTTAAGGACCGGAAATTTTATGTTACCGTAGTTGTCGCTTTGGGACCTTCTACCATTGGCACCGGTTTTTTCTCTTCCAGAGCTCCAATTTCTATACAAGCATCTTCTTATAATGTTATCATATAGCCCAAAAATTTCATAAGTTCTTCAGTAGATTTTAAAAGATTCAAGAAGCATGAAAAACAAATTTACTCTTTAAATAAAAGACTAGAGCTGAAACTGAATCCTTTTTCGTCAGTATTGGAGTATAAAGATGAAGAATAGTTGATCGAACATTTTTTCTCCATAAGACCCAAACAGCGACTATCTCTTCTTCTTCGGTGCTGGTTTTGACACTGTTTTCTTCTTCGTATTCTTGACAGCACCCTTTGCGGCTTCTTTAGGTTTCGAAGCCTGTTTTACATTTTTCTTCCCGTTTCCAGCAGATTTTTTCGTAGTTTTTCGATTTTTCTTATCTTTTGACGCTTTTTTAGTTTTGTTGCCCTTCGAGGTTCCTTTCGAAGCGTTGCTTGTACCAGTTGAACCGTTCGAAGATGCACCTGCTCCAACTTCTTCGTCTTCTTCAGATTCTTCATCAGGAAGTGCCTCTCCTTGACTTGCTCCAATTTGTTCTTCATCGGTTTTCATGACCGTGGTTCCTAGTTCAGTTTCCACTGTTGTAGTTCCGGTCGTGGTCCCTGTAGTTGTTACATTAGTATCCGAAGATTTTCCAGTGGATGTTCCTTCTGTACCAGTATCTGTCGAAGTTGTACTGAAAAAAATCAACTGACGTGAGTTCTGTAAGTCAATATAATCACTTATTGGCATTTTGATTTTTCAGATTTTTCATCTGAGGTTTCTGAAGCAGAATCATGATAGTTGATCTATTGCTTTTTGCCTTATTTTCTATCAAATGTTGTTCGTCAACCATGCCTTGTTGTTCTATCAATTTAGCTACTCTTTCCTGAATTGAAAAGTTTTCTCAATTAGACAAAAATTAGTTCGACCTTGGCCATTTGGTCGGTTTTGAACACATTTTCAGCGAGAAAATCTTCCATTCGATCTACTTCTACTTCTTTTTTCTCTTGATTCCGGTTTCCTAGTAAACATCCTATCGACGTGGTGGCCACTGCGAAAACTGCACAAACGAATAAATAATTGAAGAGTCCACTTATGAGAACAGTCTAAAGAATGAGAAGATCGATTGGTTTAACTAAAGAACCTTACAGAAACAGGAATAACTTTCACTGTCACAGATGATTTAAGCTGTCCATCAGCCAAACACTCGAAGTGACCACTGTCATCTACCCCGATCGGCCAAACACCTAGAAAATCTTGTCACTCTGATTTCAGAACTTTCTCTCCCTCAACCTAATTTTCCGTCGATTGAAACTGAAACCCTCCAATCAAACCAACTTGGATCGATCCGTTTTCCATTCACAAACCATTCAACAAATTCGACCTGTTTTTTTTTCAGAATTTCAGGAAACTTTCACATCAAGCAACCCACCTCTTCTTTCTTCTTCCCGTTTTTCTTTCGGTTCTCCTGGTCACATTCGAAAGTCACCATAGAGCCACTGATCAAGGAAAGTTCAGGCAGAGTTATAGGTGTCAAATCCATTTCTTGCATTTTATTGTTGCCTGATGATAATAGATTACGAATATAAGAGAAGAAGCCTGTCACAGTGATGTTGAAAAAAGACAGGCTAAAATAGGAATACGTTTTCGAATAGTTTCTCAGACGGGTTTGAAAATCAAAAAGGCTTATCCTCCTATTGCAGGTTTTACGGTAACACATAACCCACCAACAATTGCTCGAACGACAGTTTCTTTGTTCTCATGCGAGAATAAGCTCTTGTCTTTCGCTGGAATAGGTTTTCTTTTTCGTTTGAAGAAAATACTTTTCGGTGCTTTAGTTGTGGTAGTTCTGAACAAGTAAGACTTTACAACCATCTTCCCGTATGGGCTCACGTCTTCTGAATCTCTGGCTGAAATGGACATTTTCCTTGGGAAATTTTTACTTCTAGTTCGTGTCTCGAGATGAAATCACAGTCTACATCATACTTCAACCATTTTCGAAATTTTGCTAACCTCAATGATCTTGCCCGTAGTTCCAGATCCTAATGATTATAAATGGTTCCCGAAATTATAGGAAGTCTTACGCTAATATTGGATGCTGTTTCTTCTATGTCTGAATCATCTGGGTCGAGCAATACGAACTGCCTCCCCCAGACAACAACTGATGAAACCAATAGGAAGAGAACCGACCGCATTGACATGTGTTGGAAACAAAGCCCAGCAGAGCTACAACGACTCAACTCCCACGTCAATTAAAAAAAAAAGCTTCTTTCAACATCGTGTTAACTGACTTGAATATTCTTTTGCGCTTTATGAGATGCATAACAATAAAAACTGGGTTAACCCCAACAACTTTATGTCGGAAAAACAAGAACAACAACCATTTACGAACGTGGTCTCTCCTTCTTTCCCTTGAACAGGGCGATGAGGGAGGTGTTGGCAACCTTAACGATCTTGAAACGAACTCCGGGAATATCTCCGACGGCGTGACCAGAACGTCCGAATCCGGATACGAGCACCTCGTCGTTTTCCTGAAAGACACAAGATATGAATAATCTCAATCTAGTGCTTTTTTTAAATTGTTAGAAACGGAGGTGAAACAGATGAGCAAAATGCAACAGCTGCTTGCATAAAGTCCCTAATTTATTTTCGAGTAATCCTAGCACCAAAAAGACACTTATTCTCAAAGGTGACTCTGGACCTCGCTTCCGTTATTCATTTGAAGAAAAAACTTACTTCGACAAAGTTCAAGCAACCGTCATTTGGGACGAAGGCGGTGATCTTCTTTCCGTTCTTGATGAGCTGGACACGAACGCACTTGCGGATGGCAGAGTTAGGCTGCTTAGCCTCAACACCGCTGAAAAAGAGAAAAACATTGCACATGAAATTTATCACTATAAAACTCACATCTTCTCAAGAACGATTCCCTTGGCGTGGGAAGCTCCTCCGAATGGGTTAGACTTCCAGCGGGTTCCGATGTGAGCCTTCTTGTATCTCTTATCGTTCCATCGTTGCTCTTGACGATGAGTCTTGAGTTTGCGAGCCGTGCAGAGTCCCTTCGGCTTTCCCATATTACCTAGAAAGAATATAAGTCAAATAAAAATTGCGTAATATAAATTTAACGAAAAATCGCTGTAGAAACCAATTAAAAGGCTACAAAAATGATATAAATTATAAGATTTTGAGCATTTTCAACCGAGAAAGTGCAAAAAACTTGAAAAACTCGATGTTGGGCAACAAAAAACGAAGAAAAAATTTAGGATTTTGTCAAAAATAAGTGTATTTTCTGTGCAGACAGACACAGTGAAACGAGTGCTACCGTATAACCTGCACATCTAACTGGTGGCCGGGGTGGCCGCGGCCTAGAAACTGCAGGTGAACGTCGTTTTGGAAGCGAAACTTGGAGCTGAAAAAACGATTTCGGGATTAAAAAATGCTCAAGTTTTACACAAACATGATGAAAAAAACATCGAAAAAACTTTAAAATCGTATTTCACCTATTTAAATCAGCTATGTTTGCCTTCTTTTTTGTCAGTATTAGCTATTTTTCCCCTTCTACAATCGTAATCTTTTCAGAATGGCATCACAACTGATCATCTATTCAGCACATGTTGTTCTTCTCGTTCTAGTTTGGCTGCTCGCGTATACAGAAGTTGTGCCGGTGCTATCGTATATTCCTGAATGCGCACACTGCTTAGTTTATTATGTAAGTTATCTTGACTTGTTCCTTTTTTCATTCATTCTTTTTCAGGCTCCATTCTTCGCAGTATTTTTCCTTGGGGTGAATTTTGATAAGTCCTACATCGAAAACTATAAACCACGGAAATTGTTATAGGTTATGAGATGAAAATGTGTTTTACACCAATTCGTGAATGCGAGAAAAAGCATTGAATGCGTTTTTTAGAGCGAAATATGAAGAACAGCATTACTAATTGCTATCATGGAAAAATTCCTAAAAATTCTATGTCTTTGAATTATTCTTTTTTCAGATTTACGCAGCTTTCAACGTCATCTACGGAGTTGCAACGTTCAACGATTGTGCAGAAGCCAAAGTGGAACTCCTGCAGGAAATTAAACAAGCGAGAGCGGAACTGAAACAAAAGAGAATAATCGATTAGTGGCCGAGTGAATCAAAGCTCCCATGGGTTTTATGTGATATTTGCTTTAATTAAGTTGTAATTACACTTTTAAAAAGACAGTGAAGTGTTTTTATTTTTGAACAATCATCAAAGAAAGACAACAGTGTGCACGAAAGACTAGCGAGAAATAAAACAAGAGAACTCAGAGAAAAATAGAAATAAATAAATTACAGTCTTGAAAACAACAGGAAATTGATAAAGCACTGGTTGCAGGGTGTAGTACCCCAAAAATTCAGGAGGAATGAGCTGACAGGATTTAGTTACTGAGAATAGTGAACAATATGAACGAAGACAGGGTAGAGAAAAGGTGATGGGAGAAAGAAACCGGTAAGACATGGCGAAAAATACACAATGAAACGAGGAAGTGCAAACTTCTTGCCTTTATTTTGAAAAGGTATGATTTAGAATGGATAGCTTCCTAATGATACTTTACATCTCAGATCGTTATCGAACGGCACAAAGTTGCGATTCTCTGAATTGAAAATATAAATTGAATCCGAAGGTGTATCCATTATTCCGATTCTTTGAAGATTTGTTTTCACAAGTTTGAATGTCCCTGGAAATAAAAACTATTAGACACTTTGGAAAGAAAAACAAAGCGTACCTGTTTTCTCAACGTCTTGGCAGATTCTGATGAACTGTGGAATAGCATAGCTCGTAAGAGAGGAAGATAGTCTGGCTCCAACTCGCTCCACGAATTGACTCTCATTCTCTTCAAACGAAACAGCTCGAACAACAGATGCCATCCCGACTTTTCCTTCACGTTTTGGCACTTCTACTCCATAAACAGTCGCATCAGACAGTCCATTGATGGGATGGAGAATAGCTTCAACTTCTGTAGTCGACACATTCTCTCCCTTCCAACGGAACGTATCTCCAGTTCGATCTTTGAAATAGACATATCCCAACCGATCCCAGTGTAGAAGATCTCCAGTCAAAAAACAACTGTCTCCTTTGGCAAAGACATCTCGAATGATCTTCTTGTTAGTTTCTTTCTTATTTAGGTAACCCTCGAATTGAAGGAGCGGATTGTTCTTTCTGATTGTAGATACCATTGCTCCAGATTCTCCAGGGTTACATGCAATGCACAGTCCATCGGATGTTCGGATAGCCTCTCCAGTTACATCATCCACTTTAATCAGCCTTACTGGATGCATTTTCTTGGTTAGAGGAGAAATTGGCAAGAACCCGCATGCACCTACATGACCGTCAATGTTCACTGAAATTAAATGAAAATGAAAATTTTAATAACCACAATTAGAAAAAAATACCAAGAGAAGATGTTCCTTCTGTTGACCCATAAAGTTCTCCAATTCTCACTCGGAACCGATCAACAAATGGTTGCCAGATTTCAGCACGAAGCCCGTTTCCGACCAATAGACGCATTCCTAAAAAAAATACAAACGTTTTTGAATATTACCTCGAAACTCACGGTGCACAGATTCTTCCTTGACCACAGGTTGAGCTAGAAGATACCGACAAATCTCCCCAATGTACTGTGAAACAGTGCAATCGTACTTTACACAGTCTCTCCAAAAGTTGCTAGCCGAGAACTTCTTTCTAATAACACACGATGATCCTCCTAGAAGTGCTTGTCCGACTCCGAGAATTCCAGCAGCAGTATGGTAGATTGGCATGGAAACGTACATTCTGTCCGATGCTTTGATTCCGAATGATTTAGCAGCCCCAACAGCAATTGAATAGTATCTGAAGTGCTTCATGACTGCTGCCTTTGGCATTCCTGTTGTTCCACTTGTATAGATGAAGCAGAGAACGCCTGGAAAATGAATCAATTTCAAAGTTGAACGATATGAAAAGATCTTACTTTTAAAGTCAATGACATCCAACGTTTTAGGCTCAGAAGTGACTTGAGCATCCAAATTCTTTTGAAGATTTTTAAATCCAGAGTTCTTTTTTGGTTCGCCAACTGAATACACATCAATTCCATCCACTCGGAACAACTTCTCATCGATTGCATCAATCAACACTGAAATTGTCAAATTTAGAATTAGAACTCTTCTTTAGGAAAATGTACTATTCTGCAATGTGACACTGGTGATTATAGCTTTCGTCTTGCTAGCAGTGATGCAGTGAACCAATTGTTCTCTTTTCAAATTTGAATTAATCCACGCAGTAACCACTCCGATCTTCGCAAGTCCCATCCAAGCAGCAACGAATTCAACAGAGTTTTCCATGTATAGAGCAACAACATCCCCAGACCGGTATCCCAGGCCCTGCAATAGGATTTTTTTGAACTTGGCGTTTATCGTCTAACTGTCAACTTTGAACCATTTTATCTCGGTTTCTGTTAAAGATATGAAAAAGTTATCAACTGGTGAATTGTTTATCATAATATCATAGAAACTTTATCAGTTGATGTCTAGCACAAGAGCTAAGAAAAATTAGCTCCAACTTGGCAGTGGGGGCCCTTCTATTACAGGTTTTACAATAACTTTTGCCACAAACTTTCAGAGGGCTATTATGTAAAGCCATACTGCTTTCATATTACAGTAAAACCTGTATTAGAAGGGCCCCACTAATAGAAGAGCCCTTCAAGAGAGGCTTGGAAAAACAGAAGGGCTTTTTTAATGACAAATTTCGGAAAAATTGACAGGAAAAATAGAAGGGCCCTTTAATTGAAGGGCATCCTGTAATAGAAGGGCCCTCTGGAGGAACCTTGAAACAACATAAGGGCATGCCCTCCTAATACGGGGTTTTCGGTGAATGCAGATTACCAAGGCATTTTGAAAATTTTGAGAGTATCATTTTTGGAAACTAGTAATATTTAAAGATAGTGTGTTCAAAATTTTTCATGCTACAGTACTATTTTATTCTTTCGAAACTTTTCCTGGGTCGAATTTTTCAAAGTATATATTTTTAAACTTGTAACTACCAAAATCATTCAATTTTCAAAAATAAAAGTTTTTTGAAGTTACAAACCTGGAAATAATTAGCATATCGGTTGCAATGTGCATTGAATTCCTCGAAGGTTTCTGTCGTATCTTTCTCAATATCAATCATCGCTGCTTTCTTTGGATTTCTGAAAATATAATTTTAGTTGTTTAATTTGATTTGAAATCTCACTTTTTGACGATATCCAAGAACAACTCATGAATTCCTTTATTCTGATGTAACCTCCACCATAAGTCAATTTTAACTTCGATAATCAACGCAAGTCCTCTGAAAATGTTCAATTTCAGCTCTATTCTTTTTTATTGTCGCCTCTTACGTTAGATCCCTATTCAATGTGAGATAACTTCTATAAATAAAATCTCCATGGACTACTGTAATATACAGTAGGAGAACTCCTGCAAGAACCAAACCAATCGGAAGGTATTGGTCGATAGCTGCCACTGTTAGAAGCATGACTGTCACCAGTTCTTCCAGCTTCATTTTGGGAAGCAACCTGAAAGGTTTCTGTATGATTCTTCATATTTATTTCTTGCCTACAACCAAATTACCCTGCATTTTCAGTTTGATGTACTAATTCTAAGTCAGCTTTTTCCAAATACAAATACGAAGCCAAACAGTTCTACAATGCGTAATACATCGACGTCACGTCATGATTTGCCGTATGCCAAATCCATTCGGATGGTCATCGGACGACGGAAACAGGTCCCCTTGGAGACGCAGAGAGTCAAAGAAATGAGGGACAAGTTCTGACGACGGAATAGAGGTGTCATTTACGGTAGAAGAAGAGAAAAGAAGGAGTACGGGAGAAAGTTGCAGATGAAGGACAAATGGAAGGGCACAAATTTTGGGCATTTATGGGATTAGGTGAATCACATAAACATTCAAAGGATGTAGCGTCTTTTGTTCGTTTTGAATGAAGTACGCTTTGTTTCAAATCGGGACATATGGACAAGCAATGCGATAAGACCACAAGTCATGGCTTCAGGTTTTCATTTGCAGACATAGATCGTTTTGTGGCATTTTCGTTCCGAATATTATGCGATTTCGATCATAACTGGAACCAAACAAGATTTATGCCTAGTTTTTAATAAGTTTCTTATTTGGGCATAACACCTTTTATGTTTTGAATTTTGGTTCGAGTTTGGAATGTAGGACTGTGAAACTAAACATCTTCTTCACCCTAAAACATTTATTATAACTCAAAATCCTGAGTAAGAATCAACAGATATTGTGACAGTTGTTTGTTCAAAAGTTGGGAAAGCCAGAACCGACTAAATGAGTACTCAATCAATATATATTTTGGGAACATTTCAGGTTTTTCAAATATGGGTTACCATCTACGTTTTTGAATGTGTTCAGAAATTTAACTTTCACAAAGCAATATCTTTAACTAAAGAGTTCAGAAACTAGAACACCGTACACAACCTAATTAAAAGCGACCCGAACTGCCTATATATCTAATTTGCTCATATATTTGATTTTCTGGGAAATATCTCAAAAAGTGGTCAACTGATAAAATTTTTATCATAGTATCAAAAATATTTTGTCTGTTGATCACGTTTTGATATCTTTTACGGGAGTCGAGATAAATTGGCTCAAAGTTCAAAGTTAGGGGCCCTTCTATTACAGGTTTTACGGCATGTCAGGATTTCAAAATATGCCCATCAAATATGGTTTTTTGAATGCGTTCAGATGCTTTTCAGAATAAAGAAGTCGCGTTTCAGAATAAAGAAGTCAGAAACTAGATTACTATGAACACTCTAATAGAATGAGCCCCTAACTTTCACCTTTGATCCAATTTATCTCGGTTCCTGTAAATGATATCAAAAAGTAGTCCACTAACAAAATGCTTTTCATTTTATGATAAAAAGTTTGTCAGTTGACCAATTTTTGATACCTGTCACAGGAAATGGGATATATGAGCTCAAAGTAGACTGTTCGGATGACTATTTATTAGAGCGTTTACGGCAGTAGCATATCCTGTGTACATTTCCTAGCGCATTCTCTCTTCGTTCTTTTCCGAAAAACCGCATAATTCTCTAAATGGCATCTATTTTTCTGTTGTTTGATCCTTTATCTCAATCTATATTGGCCAAAGTACACCCCGAAAGATGCTTGTAGTGTCAGAAATATAGCATCAAATTCAATGAAATGGCTATTGCTTACCTAGCTGGTTTTTCCAGAACATCTGTGGCGAGAGGCTTCGGCTTCCGCCAATTCGTCGTCGCAGTTGAGCAATCCGCTCGATCCGTCATGACCCGCCGATATGAGAGAATGTGGTTATGGTTGGGAAGAAATGTACTGAAATGAAAAGTTTCAGAGGGTATGAACACTGATTGAAATTATCAAAACAAAGTAATTAGAGAAAAGTGATTTGGGTGAATTGGTATACAACGTTTTAAGAGAAAAAAAGATGACGGTGATAAAAGAGGAAAGAAACATAAACAGAAAAAGACGGCAAGAATGGAAGATGATGGACCGGTATCTAGGGGACAGACGATGCTAGCCTGCCCCGTCTCTTCTGTGGCTGCTGTTGGTTGATGGAAAACGAAGAAGAAGCAGAAGAAAGAAAAGGACGACAGAGAGATGACTGATGAGAAAGGATGAATGGAGAATAGAGGGACTGTAATCACGAATGGAAAATGAAAAAGAAGAAGAAGAAGCACGAATCAGAATATCACCGAGAAGGCATTCCGGCGGAGATCATAATTATTCCATGGCAAATGGAATAGAAAATTCAAAGAAGATACATGCCAATAACGTTAAAAAAATATATATTGGAGACCAGATATCAGGTTTCAGAAAAAGTTATCAATTTTGGATGATTAAAAAATTGGTTAGAACTTTTCGATTCATAATTTATCACTCACTGAAACTGCATAGACTGTATTCTTTGAAAAATATTAATTATTCTGGAGCAAAAAAATCTGAGTTGTGGAAGAGAAAAGCTTGTGGGCGTGGCCAATGGTCACTGTAACAAAACCACCGTAATCTAAGTTTTCAGTCTTTTTTCTTAAATACTATTTCTGTGTTGAAAATCAACAAATAAGTTCATACTTGTAACGGGCCGGGCCGGGCCGGGCTTTTTCCCGAATTTCGGAGGCCCGGCCCGGTCATTCCACAAGTTTTGAAAATTTCAAAAAACGAAAAAAATTTGTTTCGAGTTTTTTTTTGATATTTTTTGATCAAACAGACAAACAATCCAAAAAGCACAAAAAAATATAAAAAATTGTATTGAGAGCTCAAAATTCGGTTCAAAATGACAAAATTTTTGCTACCGGGCTTTGAAATTTTCCTCAGGCCCGGCCCGGAATTTTACAAGTGTGAATAAGTTGAATTTTTTTAATCTAACAAGGGAAAGTTTTTTAGACAACGGTTGAGAATTTGCTCAAAATTTGCATACTTATACTTTAAGACATCAAACCTATTTCTATAGGTTTCAGTTAAGTTCAAGCGATTTTTCAGAAATTAGGAACTGTCAAAATTCTAACAACAACCAGATTTCGGAGATTTTTTGAGCCCAAAGACAACATTGGGCTGAAAAAATTTGTCAGAATGCTATTTTTATCGTTTCTGAATAATTGGAACGTTTTTTCGCACTTTTCAAAAAATTTTCAAAAAATCATTTTCAAAGTGTTTTTTTCAAATTTTTTTTTGAAAATGTTCAAAAGTTACTTTAGAAGATAGAAAAATGTCCAAAAATGAGTTTCGCACTCAAGCAAATCCTGAAAAACTAATTTTTAACCTCGAAAAATGCATGTTTTTGGCCAAAATTTAGTACTAAAAGCACTTTCAGAGGCCATATTTCCGCTCCTTTTGAGAACGAACTAAACATTTTTTTGGATTCGGATTCAGAATGTTCGAAAGTACCTTTGTACAAATTTTGAGCAAATTCTCAACTGTTGTCTGAAAAACCTTCCTTGTAAAGAATTGCCAGAAAAAAGACGAAAATAGAGAGAAAAATATGAAAGTAAAAAAATTTGCTGATTACGATAGATCGGCACGGCCATCAGATTTTCTTTTCCACAGCTCCGATTTTTGCGTACCAGCATAATTACCCACTGAAACTGCCAAAGGTTAATTCGACTGTATTCTTTTTTTTTAATATCCTAATTGGGAAGAAAATATAAATAAGCATGTTTGCAAAATTTTGTTCGAATATCAGCTGTTTCAATTTTATCTGTATCAACTTAATTTGTTATCCAAAAAACTGCCCTCCCGCATCTTTTATCATGTTTTGTGTTGAGTTTACACCAAGATAAATGTCTGTCCCCTCCACATGCGCAATATTTTTTTTACACGATACAACAAGCTTTGTGTGAAAATAAACGATAAAAGAAAATACAGAAAACCAATGAATACGATTTTGAGAGAGGGTCTATATAGAAACAGGCTAGGTGATCGGTTAGGTTATCGAAAAGTTCATTCGGTCATGAAGAACTTGATTTCAGTGTTCATTGATAAACACGAATGATTACAAACTGAAAAGAACTTTTGTAACGCTCTCGGTCAATGACCACAAAGTTACAAAATGAAAGTGAATGAAAAAGAAGAAGAAGAAGAAGAGAATTTAATTTGCATATGAGGGCAGTAGGTGAAATGGAAAGAAGAAGTGACAAGAAGGTGTCACAATGGGAAACGACCATCATGCAAATCTCATCATCATCGTCTCTTTTCCATCGGGATGAAAGTTTTGTGTCTCAAGAAAGTTGAGGAAGGAATTTGGTTTCTTACGCCCTGCGGTGAAGGATTGGGAGCAGAACAATGAGAATGAGAGGAGATTTGAAAAGACAATTCCAGAGAAAGGAAGTAGAGAAAATGGTAGAATTTGGAAGGAAACACTGCATTTCATAGGCAATTGATGGAGATAATTTCTTAGACTTCAAATTTTCAAATATTACCATACGACCTGTAAAAAATGGGCTCCCACACGATCCAGTTTGAGCTCAATTATTCCAATTTTATACAAGATATCAAAAACGTGCTGACTGACAAAACACTTCTAAAATCCTGATAAATAATTTATCAGTTGACAACTTCTTGTATCTTTGACAGGAACCAAGAAAAATTGGATCAACGTTTAAAGTAGCGGACCCTTCTGTTACAGACATAAATTCCAAACTCAAACCAAAGTTAGAAACTTGAAAGGTGTTAAGTTAAAAATTAGGGAGCCCTTCTATTACAGGTTTTATGGAATTTATTAGATAAATGGCTGACCTGAACTGAATGACCTCGTTTCAGGTCATTTCGAAACCAGTATAGCAAAATTGAGATTGAAAAAAAACAGTAAGCGAAAGTACAAAGCGATTCAAATGAGGCGGATGAAACCTCTCTCATAACTTTTGATTCGTCTAACGACCGTTCCGCCATTTCTTCGGGGAGACTACGTGGATTTCGGAGTAGTTAGACGATTAGTAGGTCAATGGGAAAAGCTACGGATTCTTTCAGAAAGAGAGAGAGAGAGAGAGAGAGAGAGAGAGAGAGAGAGAGAGAGAGAGAGAGAGAGGAACAAATTTAGAAAAAAAAACAGTTTTCGGAACAGATATGATTAAAAAGAAGATGAAACAAAAACTGGATCAGATGAGAGAAATGATAAACGTAAGCTTTTGGAGTTTTGTGGGCTGATATCTGAAGGTTACAATCGAACGGAAAATGAAAGAGGAAATTGAAAAAAAGGAGATGAAGAAGAAAAAGGAGAAGAAGAAGGTAAAAAACGGGTTCAGAATTGATAAAGTGAAAGGAGAAGAAGCTGCAACAAACAATTGAAAACATCAGAAATGATTAAAAATCTTAAAAACAGATCATCTTTAATAGGTTCTAGGGATGAATTCAGAAGCCAACAATTCAATTGGTTCCTCTTTCTTCCGAGTCCCCACTATCAATTTATCACTGGAACATCAGATTGCTGATTTCGAAAGCATGACTTCTTCCTTATACAAAAAGACCTGTTCCAGGTAGGAACATGAACTGTTTTCCCTTTCTGGGTTTTGCAGATTATTTGAATTCTCTATATCAAAGATATGATAAGAAATAATTACAGTGATAGGTGTTGTCAGTTTTCATGGATTATCTGCATGTCCGGATACCGTCAAACTTGTAAGAGAAGGGTCTCCTACCTGTCAAGTGTGAGTTTATATTTGGCGGCTTCTAAGCAAAGGCATAAAAAATGTGTCAACTGCGAAAACATTTCTGATACTATGATGATAAACAATTGACAACTTTTTCATTTCTTCGACAGGAACCGAGAACAATTGGCTCAAAGTAGAAAGTTACAGGTTTTAGGGTGAACGGTATTTTCACACAGATACAAAAAGGACTCTAATTTAATACCAAAAAGTGCAAATGACTAAAAGCAGAGATCTAGTTGAGGAATGAGTAGATTTCATGAAGGATTAAAGAATTCGATTACATGGGGGATTGGAGGACGATTAAAGTTGTAGACATGGAACACTGGAAACACGTTTGCCAGAAGAGAAGATTTGAATCGGCATGGGAGAGCTAGAGAAGGATCGACACCTTTTGGCAGATGCTATATGGAGATTTGAAATTTTTGAAAAGAAAACATCTGGATTTTCAGAATACAAGAAGAGAAATGATTATGTTTCGAAATCCAGGATGTATCAAATGTGCAGGAATGGTGAAATACGTAGAAGTAACAAAAGTGGATGTAGGAGACAGTTTTCACGATAGAAACATTTGAATGAAAGGGAGGCCGAGAGGGAGAGAGAGTGTGAGGCTAACCAACCGTCCTCCGGCCTTATGCTAAACCCGTTTTGTCTCCATCGCCGTTTCCCGATCCTAGTCGGTGGTCGCCTGCTTCTGCTTCTTCCTCTTCTGTATCCCTTCAGAAATGAAGACATTTCGAAGTTGTTCGCTATTGTAAACGATGTGAGAATTCCTGCGATAGTGACAAAAAGAAAGAGAGAGAGACCGCTTTATCTTCGGAAGCTACGCTAGCCTGCTTCTTTTGACCTGATAAGAAAGCCGATTCGGCGGTCGGAAGGTTCAGTGAACTAATTCTGCCAAACAGACAGAGGTAACGAAAAATTTTTTATTCGCAGGGTATTAATATTTTGGTACAAAATATGGAGTTGCGGAAGAGAAACTCTGGTGTCGAAGGTTCCACCAACTACCGTAACCTGAGTAACCTGAAAATATTTCTTTTTTCCTGATTTTTTCTCGTTTTCTGTGCAATATCAGTCAATTATTTCACTGTAAAAATGTTTAATTTACCGACTTTGTTTGGAGAAAAACGAGAAAATATATGCTGAAAACAAGAATGTTTAAGATTACGGTAGTTGTCGCTGTGGGACCTTCGGGCACGCCCACAAGCTTTTCTCTTCCACAGCTCTAATTTTTTATATGTACAAGCATAGTGTTTACAGTGCAACAACATCTGGCTTCCAGAAGGTCAATACCGTAACCAATCTCCAAATCTAACAAAATGTGGATTGTCTGGAGAATCATAAACCATTGTCTTGAACAAAATTCTCCTAGACCCATGATTATGGTAAGTCAAGATCAAATTTCTTTTTTGCAGATTTCTACCCGCGAAACTTTTAAAACTGGTATTGTTTCTTTTCTCACTTTTAGATCGATTTGTACTTTTTTTGTGTTTTCTTGTGTTGGTTTATGGTTTTTCAACAAATTTTCAATTGTTCCAGAAGCCACTGCAATGATGGCCGACGAAAGTGAAGTCATGATTGGGGAGGATGTCCTGTCGACATATTACTCAACAACTAGCAACTCGGACTCATCATCTGGATCTGCTCCTCTCACAACGTCAACAACTTCTGCATCTTCGTCGAACTCATCTACGAATCGTCACGAACCAGGGCTTCTGAATTTCTTTCGTCGACGTAGTTGGTTTGGGTTTGGTGGAGCTGCTGAATATGCAAAAAAGAAAGAAGACGTAGATACGATCCAAGAAATTATCAAGTGCTACCAAAACAATGATGTACCAGGAATGGAAAAATTTGTTCATGAGGAAACGAAAATCACAGTGTGCGAAACAGAGAAATGGAAAGACGGAGAAGGCATGTGGTGGGATGATGAAGAGGTACTTCGTCCGAAAAGAGTCGAAGAGAATCTGAAAGAAGTTCCGTTCGGCAAGAACACGCCTCATCCAAAAAAGGGAGTTTCGATGTTGCCTCCCCGTGTGTTGAAAGCGGTTCGATTCGATGTGGAAAATACTCCGGAAGACCGTGAAAATCGAGTGAGTGGCTATAAATATTCCAAATTTCATAAAACTTTTTCAGCCATTCACTCCTCTTTTCACCAGCACACCGAAACACTTCGGAACTGAATGCGACAGCGATGATGAACTGAGACCTCTCAGAGAATGTGATTCAAACACTGTTCTTTTACCAGTTGCCGTTCACAATAACACCTCTTCGATTCTTCTGGCTAGTACCTCTGTGATGACAAGTTTGAATAAGGTAATCATCAACTTCTTTGAACCGCGAAAATTAAACTTTAATTGCAGTGTCACCAAGAAACCACAGATGCTCTTTGCTTGCCGTTCAATAAAAACATTTACAAAATTTGCTACGACGACACTGATGAAGAAGAAGTTGCAGAAGAAGCACTTCCTTCGGAAACGCCTACTCCAAGTCGGGGAACGTTTGTCGTGGAAATGGAGGGTTCTGAACCGAGTTCTAAGACTATGAGTGGGCGTGATCAAAGTTTCGATCAACTGGACATATCGACTGATTCGAGCGTTATTCTGAATCTGGATTGCATTGACAACTACATCCAACGTCTTGACGATGAAATCGCTGCAGCAAATCGATTTGCTCGAGAGAAAGACATGGTCCGAGCTATGGGAGCTGTACAACAGGCTAGACTTCTCCAGGAACGATTTGAACAAATGAATGACGCCATTAACGAAATGTGCAGCAAGCTCCCGGATGATTTCGAGTGTCCAAACGCAGTGGAAGATGACAAGAGCTATCATGACTTGTCGGCAGTGTTCGAAGATTCGCAATGGGGAGCAAGGCTTGGTTCTGAAGCTGGAAGTTTCAATGGAAGTCAGCTGTAACAACTATTCGAAAAGATCTGAACAAATGCAGAACGACTGCCAAAAACCTCACTTACCAATAACTAATCATTTTTGTAAAATACTATATTGCCTGAATGCCTCTCTTTATTGATTGTTTTATTTCTTTGTCAAAATAAAGGATCTATTTCCAAATAGTGTTTTTCAGAATTTCTTAGACTTCGAACAAGCTTTTCAGCTATTATTAAAATTAATTTAAAAGAATTTATTCTGTACAGCAATAAATAGACCAACAAATTCAGGCCCATAGTTTCTGGTTCAAACTACCACCAAAAAAAACAAGGCACTGGAGCGCGAATGCAGTCTCTGTGGTGAAACCCGTTCGATAAATAAATGCATGCGCCTTCAACAATTTTAGCACTTTATGACTCATTTCAGCTCAAAGGCATTGAAATTATTACAGAATGTCTTACAAAATCGAAGCCAGCCAGCTGAAAATAGCTGAAAAGCTGGTGGTGTTGAATAACCGGGCTGTTGGAATGATGACAAGGATGTATAATATAAAGAAGTCTAGTGGTGGTGAGTAATTAAAGAAATTCAAATAATTTGATTTGTTTTCAGATTCAAAAGTTAAACCATATTTTTTGAGCGATAAAAAAATGGAAGGAGCAATCAAGCATATTGTTAGAAAGTTTCCAGTTGTTGATTGTCGATCAAATACAGTAAGTTGTCATTGATTCTCGATTTAAATACGTTTGTTTATTCAGTCAACGTTCGAACATGTTCAAGCAATGTCTGCTGAGGTGACAAAGTCTTTGTCGCTGTATTATTATACATTTGCCGATCTTCTGGACTTGAAAGATCATATTATGCAAGTTCTCACGACAATGGAAACTTGTCAATGCCAATTGGATGTGGTGAGCAGCACCGATTAAATATATATATTGTTATATGTCACTTTTAGACTCTGAACTACGATTTGACGACCGGATATTTGAATCTGGTCGTTAATCTTATCACAATGATGATTCTATTGTCGAGAATAGAAGATAGAAAAGCAGTTCTCGGTCTTTTCAATGCAGGATACGATCTCCAGCATGGCCAGAGTGAAGCGTCGTTCCCACGCCTTGGTCAGATGATTCTTGATTATGAAAATCCACTGAAGAAACTCAGTGAAGATCTTGGGCCATTGAATCGGTTAATTTTCTCGGCGCTTTCATCGGTCGGTCCATCCTATTTACGCAGGAACAAAACAGCAGAATACTGGAGAACGTCTAACATCTTCTCTTTAACAGCAGCTCCAGGTCAAATCCTTTATGCTGCACAAACCGAAACAGTAAGTTGGAAGGGAATAAATGATTGAAAATTATTTAATTTCAGATGGCTTGCGAATATCTTTCTATTGACATCATTGATCGTTGGATAATATGTGAGTTACCAACATTTTGAAACTGAACCTCAATTTCTTTTAAAGTTTGTGCAACAATTTGTCATTCGTCTCTCTTGAATGATGCGAACATCCTCTCGATGTGGCAAGCCGCTGTTCAAACGAATTTCTGCATACGCCTTTTCCGAGACGAGACATTCCTTACTCATCAAGAAATTCAAACGTATTTCGAATCAACAAAAGATAAAAGCAAACGGTTGCAAGATCTAAAAGAAGCAATACACATGTCTTCCTCTTCGTAAGTTTTCCTACTTCATACTTCAATTGAGAAAAGAAATTTTTCAGAATCGGTGTGCATGCGGACCGTCGTCGTTTTCTACGCAGCTCACTTCGAGAGCTTTCGCTATTACTTCGCGACCAGCCTGGTTTGCTTGGTCCGAAAATATTGTATGTGTGGATGGCGTTGGGAGCAGGAAGAGATGAAGTCATATGGTTGCTCAGACACCAAGTAGAAATGCCCTTGATTGCTAAGAAAGGAAACAAAACCATCGATGAGCTCATAGATCGACAAATTCCAGAGCTCTTGTTTTATATGCTTGAACTTCGCGATCTTGTTGTGAAGTATTCAGCAATCATTCAGCGATACTATTTACAGGTTAGCTCATTTTTACAACCAGGATAAAGGAATGTAACTAAATTTTTTCAGTACGTATCCAGTTATGATTCAATTGTGGTAACAGAGGAAATCAATCACGCGTCCGGACTCTCTACAGACGAGGCAATCCTTCTGACTGACTTCGCCAATTCGATTTCAAACATCAACTCTGACACGGATCTTCGAGCTCTGCGGTTGGACTGGTTCCGTTTTCAAGCATGGGTTTCTGTCTCTCGAAACAACTTCCAACTCTTGAAACACCGAAAACTAGCCAATTTCATGAACACATCGGTGTTCCATCTCAAAATGATTGATCTACAAGATGAAATGCTTCGCGAAACCAGTGACCTATCAATTTATTGCTTTTATCCAAAGTTAGCAGAAAGACACTGGATCAATTGTCTCCAATTGCCCGCTCAAGCCCGATACGTGCTCAGTTTTGCCCGTCTCGCTGGTCATTTCACCAGTGCACTTCACGACATGTGCCCTGAGGAGAAAACGTTCATTACCGAAAAGGCACTGGCTCAATGTAACTCGGTTATTGAAGAAACGTGCAGGCAAGTTTCGTTTGTACTGGAAAAGGTAGCGGAACACGAGTTTGGACTTGCTTATCAAATGACTCCAAGTGCTGTTTCCGTTCGAGTAATTGCTCAAGTCTTACAACAAAAAGGTGGGAAAGCTGCTGCAGCAGCGGCAGCTGCGGCGAAAGACTATTTTGTCGCCGGAGAAGAAAGTCACCGCGTTGATCGTCAGGCCTTGACTATGCCAGATAAACTTCAGACAACACTTCGTGAGTGAAATTTAACTAATGTAGCATACATGAATAGTTTTCAGTGGAATTATGTGCGGCCCTTGGAGTCCATCGTCAGATTCATGTGGCAGATCATACGTTTGCTCCCCGAACATATCTTTCACAAAGCCTAGAGAGCACATTCGTGGACCTCCTACATAGAATGTTGTGGGAAGGTCAAGAAAATGCGAGTAACCCAAGAAGGCCTAGTGAAATGCTTCTCGCTCTTCAAGCATACATGACTGTCTTCCAGAATTTGGACACTGCTAGTAAGTGAGATATACAGTAAGAATCAAAAAATGGGGTTTTCAGTTTCTGTGGATATAAGCAACACCATGCAAGCGATTCTCCTTCAACAAACGCAGTCTGTAGATTCTAGAAATAAAGACACAATCACTGCTTTCTACACAAAATGGTATCTGGAAGTTCTTCTTCGTCGGGCATCAGCTGGTCACATGATCTGGAGTGAGCATCAACGATCAATGTTAGCATATGGACAGGAGATACTGCCGGTCATGCCCGACCAATATTCTGATCCACAAGAATTGCGTGCACTTGTTCAAATCATTGGACCATATGGAATCAAGTTTATGTCGGAGAGATTGATTTGGCACGTTGCTAGCCAAATAATGGAAATGAGCAAGATCGTTGGAAGTTATAAGGAAGCTCTGCAAGTAGCCAGATCTAATTTTGACAATGCAGAGAAGATGAAAGAAGTATTGAACATTTTGAGCGCTGAACCTAAAGATAAAAAGGGAACAAACACTCCATGTGCTGCCGATGCGATTTTGCAACGAACTATTATAATCGGACAAATATGTGCTTTCCGGGATGCTCTTCATGACGCTTTGAGGGATGTTGTCGACTCGAAATTACCATTTTTGCAATCTTCGTTTAATATGTTTTATCAAAATCTGGATTACGTCGCCAAAGTGAAAATGGGTGAAATGTCAGCGGCGCTGGGTGTGAAAGGACCCGTTGATATGTCGTTGGTAAATGCTGTTCGAGCACAGAACCAAAATGCCCATCCCCAAGAACATTACATAAACAGCTGCCTATTAATGGTAGCAATTGCCGTTTCTATCCCTCGGATCGGAATGGTGGATCAGTCTACCTATAAACCTAGCATCCAAGGTAGGTGGTTTTCCTTTCCGTCATATTTATAAGAACCGTTTTTAAGCTGCATTGAACAATAGCCACTGTGTTCCAATTGCTATCAACACTATCGGATCAGCACTGTTTCATTTGCATGATCAAAACGATATACCAATGAGAATGAAAGAGTTTTTGGCTGTAAGTGCTTCATCAGAGTTCGCTTGAAGACGTTTATTTTGCAGCTTGCATCCTCTGGAATCCTCAGAACTATCCACGAAAGGGACAATGGCAGAACCGCCCCAGATGATGCTCTCCGTTCACATAATACCCTCTATATCATCTTGGAACAGATGGTTCGCAAAAACCACTGGATTTCGATGAATGTTCTCGAGGCTTGCTTCCCTTACAACCTCGTTCGGACAGCTTATCAGCAGTGCTACGAAGCTGAACCCCAGTAATAATTTTTATGTACAGTACCTTTAATTTTTCTTCACATGTGCCTAAAATGTTTCATAATTATCCACTACCAACCCATTCATCGCCACGGGTTGAACAACGCTTAACTTGGCAACTTTTTCATATTCCCTGCATTTTTGTATGCATTTTCCTCTCTCCCACTGAATTTCCAAATAGCTTTAATTTATTACATTTTCATGTACCATAATAACATTTTTATCCTGCTTCAATCTGATTGTTTCAAATCAACTGACAAAATGGCACAACGATAAGAAACATTTCCGAGAAAACACATATGTAGGACTGTAAGAAGACTGAAAAATCAGCCAAACAGGCAAGAGCTCCTACGCTAGTATATGTACTCTATATAAATAGTGTGGCTCAGAAGAGATTTTGTGATGGAAAACCTAGGGTACGATGCCTTGACGAAAAGCTGACAAACCTGATGAAAAACAGGTGAAACCATTAATGTCTAAAAATCATATTCTGAAAGTTAGGCACGTTGCTGCCGAAAAAACAACGGTGGGCGGAGCTTCGCTCCCACGGAGAACACTACGATCTCTCCAATTCAGTTTCATTCGAACGTCAACTTAAGACACAATCTCTGATGGGGTTATTCACCAAAATGTAGAAAATTTCGCAAAACCGCGGAGAATGAACAAATCTCGCTGAAATTTCGGAAAAAATTTGGAGAAAATTATAGAGAGCTTATTCACAAAATTTGGGGTCA